TTGAAGACCTGATCAAGTTAAGTTAAAGAGTATCTGTAGGCTGGGTGTGGTGGCTCATGCCTGTAATCCCAGCACTTTGGGAGGCCAAGGCAGGCAGAACTCCTGAGGTCAGGAGTTCACAACCAGCCTGACCAACATGGAGAAACCCCATCTCTACTGAAAATACAAAATTAGCCAGATGTGATGGCGCATCCCTGTAATCCCAGCTATTTGGGAGACTGAGGCAGGAGAATCGCTTGAATCCGGGAGGTGGAGGTTGCGGTGAGCCGAGATCATGCCATTGTACTCTAGCCTGGGCAACAAGAGTGAAACTCCGTCTGTCTGTCTGTCTGTCTGTCTCTCTCTCTCTTTCTCTCTGTCTCTCTCTCTCTCTCTCTCTCTCTCTCTCTATATATATATATGGTATCTGTAGATGTGTCTCACTCTTACCTAGGTTTCACTTCTGCCTTTCCAGACCCTTTCAGCTGATTTAACCTTTTCTTAATGTGGAATTAAAACACACTCAGGGCCGGGCATGGTGGCTCACGCCTGTCATCCCAGCACTTTGGGAGGCCGAGGCAGGCGGATCACAAGGTCAGAAGATGGAGACCATGGTGAAACCCAGTCTCTACTAAAAATACAAAAAATTAGCCGGGCCTGGTGGCGGGCATCTGTAGTCCCAGCTACTCAGGAGTCTGAGGCAGGAGAATGGTATGAACCTGGGAGATGGAGCTTGCAGTGAGCCGAGATGGCGCCACTGCACTCCATCCTGGGCAACAGAGCGAGACTCCATCTCAGAAAGAAAAAAAAAACTCCCACACTTCGGCCAACAGCTGAATGAACCTTTTTTTTTTCTGGGACGGAGTCTCACTCTGTCGCACAGGCTGGAGTGCAGTGGTGTGATCTCGGCTCACCACAACCTCCACCCCCTGGGTTCAGGCGATTCTCCTGCCTTGGCCTCCCAAGTAGCTGGGACTACAGGCGCCCCCCACCATGCTTGGCTAATTTTTGGCCACCATGCCCCGCCTGAATGAACTTTCAAAATTGGTTTTTAAAAGAGGTATGGAGGCTGGGTGCAGTGGCTCACACCTTTAACCCCAGCACTTTGGGAGGCCAAGACGGGCAGATCACTTGAGGTCAGGAGTTTGAGACCAGCCTGGCCAACATAGTGAAACCCCATCTCTACTAAAAATACAAAAAGGTAGCTGGGCTTGGTGGTGCACCTGTAATCCCAGCTACTCGGGAGGCGGAGGCAGGAGAATCACTTGAACCAGAGAGGTAGTGGTTGCAGTGAGCTGAGATTGTGCCTGGGCAACAGGTAGAGTGGAGAATTAGGCTTTACAAGCCTGGTGTTTAACTATTTTATGGTTTGGTAACAGAAAATATTTACTAACTGGTTACGGCACATTTTTGTAGTCCTAGCTACTTGAGAGGCCAAAGTGGGAAGATAACTTGAACCCAGGGGTTCCAGGCCAGCTTGGGCAACATAGCAAGAGACCCCATCCCTTAAAAAAAAAAGAAAAATTATTTACATGTATTTTGCTATATATATATATATATATATATAGTATTTACATGGGGAGGAAGAAATGAAAGGCATTGGGTGGATGGCATTTCAAGAAAATAAATTCTTCCATGAGAGGAAGTTATCTGGTAGGATGGAAAGTGAGTTTGAAGAGAGGGTGACTATAAGAGTCAACTTATCTGTCTGTGCCTAGGGATGTCCTTCCTGAGATCCGTGCTATCTGCATCGAGGAAATTGGGTGTTGGATGCAAAGCTACAGCACTTCTTTCCTCACCGACAGCTATTTAAAATATATTGGTTGGACTCTGCATGACAAGGTGGGATTCGAGTCACTTTCCTTTTCCGTTTCCCTCATCTTTTTCTTGTCCTAGGACACCTCACCTTTTCCTGGGCCTGCCACTGAGATATTTTACCTAGTGAGCAATGATTAACCCATCAAGGCACTGAACCTTGAAACTCCCTTAGCACTGGGGAGGGTAGGATAAGGTAGAGAGAGACATATACAGGAGATAAAATGACTCAAAACATGAGGTATGGGGAGAGAGACTTTCCCATGGAAGAGAGTTATTGATGGATGGTAATACAGGTGCTAAGGGGCAGCCAAAGTATCCTTCTCATGAGTACTGCTGTGATCCTTTTTTTTTTCAAGTAAGAAGACACCTGTTAATTGTTTCTGACATCTCAGAGTCCTCAGTATAGGAGACACCCAAGCTAGAATGAGGGATCGGAGAGGGGAGTCTGGAGGCTCAGTAGGGGTGAGTAGAGTATGGTTAGTCTTGTTTCCATTCTCTGGTTTTCCCTCCTCATCAGCACCGAGAAGTCCGCCTGAAGTGCCTGAAGGCCCTGAAAGGGCTGTATGGCAACCGGGACCTGACCGCACGTCTGGAGCTCTTCACCAGCCGCTTCAAGGTGAAATGTGTGGCGCTCATTGGCTTGGCTCTTTGTTGTGATTCCCGTTTCCCCACCTTGTATCTTTCTACTCCTCATGCTCTAAGATGTCTTGGCTATCCCAGCATCTTCCTCTGTGTAGGCAGTCTCTTTAGGAATTTCTGATTCTGAGAGAGCAGAATGTTTGGAATTTGCATAATGAGATATTGAGTGACTTTCTCCTTTCTGCAGGACCGGATGGTTTCCATGGTCATGGACAAAGAGTACGATGTGGCAGTAGAGGCCGTCAGATTACTGATACTTATCCTTAAGTGAGTCCTGGGAAGAGGGGAGGCCAGTGTCTCAGACCTTTGCCCCTTCCAGGGTCCTCTCCCTCCACCTGTCATAGCTGACTCTTCTGTCTGTGCAGGTTGACTGAGGTCATTCCTGAGTTGCAGTATCTCGAGTGGGAAATATTTCTGTCTTCTCTAACTCCCCCTACTCCTTTGTCTTCCACTCTCCATTTAGAAGTTCTTTGTGAGTTATGTACTCGTTGCTTTTGCCTCTTTTTGTTTCTAGCCTTCGTTGTGCCAGAAGACAGTGTCCCTATTCACACACTCTTTCTGCTTTTCTGTGGGCAGGAACATGGAAGGGGTGCTGACAGACGCAGACTGCGAGAGCATCTACCCCATTGTTTATGCCTCTAATCGAGGCCTGGCCTCTGCTGCAGGCGAATTTCTGTACTGGAAGTGAGTAGGGCCCCTTTTATGTTTCTTTAACACCACCCTCTCGGTTTCTCTCCCCCATCTGCTGCTGCCCTACCTAAGGCCTCCCCATCTCCATGGAAGTCTCTCTGGTGTCTCCTTTCCTCTCTCTGCTCCTTGGGGCTTTCCTTAGCTCTGCACCTCCTTTTCCTTTATCATCTCCTTGGGCCATCTCCTCCCTCTGTGGTCATCGTTACACCTCCTTGTTTCCTCCTGTGCTGAGCCCTTTCCTTGTGTCCTTTCCACCAGACTCTTCTACCCTGAGTGCGAGATAAGAACGATGGGTGGAAGAGAGCGACGCCAGAGCCCAGGCGCCCAGAGGACTTTCTTCCAGCTTCTGCTGTCCTTCTTTGTGGAGAGCGAGGTGACATACACAGAGATGAAGTCTGGCTGTTGTGCATAGGACCGACAAGTGGGCTGGGCTTGGTGGCTCACGCCTGTAAGCCCAGCGCTTTGAGAGGCTGAGGTGGCAGAATCCTTTAAGCCCAGGAGTGTGAGAGCAGCCTGGGCAACATAGTGAGACCCTGTCTCTACTGGAAAAAAAAAAAAAAAAAAAAGACAAATGGAGAAGGATGGGGGTGGACACTGTAGGAAGGAGAGCGATATTTAATCAGTGACCACTTCCTAGGATATTTTAATATGCCATCACTAACTCCCCATGCACCTCCTTCCTCAGCTTCACGACCACGCTGCTTACTTAGTAGACAGCCTGTGGGACTGTGCAGGGGCTCAGCTGAAGGACTGGGAGAGTCTGACAAGCCTGCTGCTGGAGAAGGACCAGAGTACGTGCCACATGGAGCCAGGGACAGGGACCTTCCACTTCCTAGGGTGAAACCAGGAGAGATTGATTGCCTGACTTGTACAAGGCAGCAATGGTGGCATGGGGTGGGGGGAACTTGGAGTTAGAAGGTGGCTAATCTTTAATTCTGTGTTTTTGATCCTCTTGGCACTCCAGACCTGGGTGATGTGCAGGAGAGCACACTGATAGAAATCCTTGTATCCAGTGCCCGGCAAGCTTCAGAGGGGCACCCACCTGTGGGCCGGGTCACTGGGAGGAAGGTATGGCATGAGGGTGGAGTGGGTAGGTCAGTAATACTCAATCCTGACAGGCATTGTGCATCCTTACCCTTCAGGCCGGGGTTAGGGTGCTCCTTCTACCCTTTAAAGAATTTCATTTCCAGAAAAAAGGGCTGGGTGCAGTGGCTCATGCCTATAATCCCAGCACTTTGGGAGGCTGAGGAAGGTGGATCATGAGGTCAGGAGATCAAGACCATCCTGGCTAACATGGTGAAAACCCATCTCTACTAAAAATAAAACAAAAAAATTAGCCAGGCATGGTAGTGGGCACCTGTAGTCCCAGCTACTTCGGAGGCTGAGGCGGGAGAATGGCGTGAACCAGTGTTTCTTTACACCTCCCCCACCCCCAAGTGACTCTCATTCCAGGGCTTAACCTCTAAGGAACGCAAGACCCAAGCTGATGACAGGGTGAAGTTGACTGAGCACCTCATCCCCCTGCTGCCCCAGCTCCTGGCCAAGGTACCACTGCCCCTCCACTCAGCATCACACCATGAGAAAGAAGTGAAAGGAAATGGCCTCTATGGGGGTGGGAGTAGGAATTAGCAATGTGTCAACTCATAAGGAGGCCTCCCTGTCAATCATCACAGTTCTCAGCTGATGCAGAGAAGGTCACTCCCCTGCTCCGGCTTCTCAGCTCCTTTGACCTCCACATCTACTGCACTGGGCGCTTGGAGAAGGTAAGGAGATAGATTTCCTATACCTTGCTTCTTGCCTGCTGGGGCCAAAGGGTTCTATTGCCAGTATCTTTTTTTTTCCAAGAACCTGGGTTCCAGAAAAATCAGCAAGCCTTTTCTTAGGCATCTTATCCTTGATGTTTAATGTTTTTAACCCTGTTCCACTTCCCTCCAGAAGAGTGCCCTCCTCCCACCCCCACAGCACACCATCTTCTGCCTTTTCTTCTCAGCACCTGGAGCTGTTCCTGCAGCAACTCCAGGAGGTGGTGGTGAAGCATGCAGAGCCAGCGGTGCTCGAGGCTGGGGCCCATGCCCTCTACCTGCTCTGTAATCCGGAATTCACTTTCTTCAGCCGGGCCGACTTTGCCCGCAGCCAACTTGTGGATCTGCTGACTGACCGCTTCCAGCAGGAGCTTGAAGAGCTGCTGCAGGTAGGAGCTGGGACTGGACAATGGGACACCCCAAACAAGGGTGGGAGGGGCTGCAAGACAGGGGATGTGGACTGATGAGTTCTGGGGGAAATGCTATTGTGGATCTTCTTTCCTCCTCAGTCGTCCTTCCTAGATGAGGATGAGGTATATAATCTGGCAGCCACTCTGAAACGCCTCTCTGCCTTCTACAAGTGAGTGGCTTTCCTCCTCTTTCCCATCCCATTTTTACTGGTGTCTGTGGAGTTGGTTCCCTCTGTTCTTTTCCAGTATAACATTCCCCTTTCTTCCACAAAGCGCTCATGACCTGACTCGCTGGGAGCTCTATGAACCATGTTGTCAACTCCTGCAGAAGGCTGTGGACACAGGAGAGGTTCCTCACCAGGTGAGTGGACAGGCTAGAGATGGGTTGGGGGCTGGGGGGTTAGATTTTAAGGACCTATGTTCTAGGTGGCCACCAGGTACATCAAGTCTCAAGGTGTAGAATGGACAAAACGAGGAAGATCAGGTCGGGGGGTCACCTCTTACATTCCTCTCTTAGGAGGTAGACTCTACTTTCAGTGTCTTCTTGGATTTCCTGGAAGCCAAGGATAATATTGAGGGATTCTAGGAGACGTAGAGTAAATTAGGGAGTGGTGACATTTCTACTTCGTATAGAAGCCTCTGAAGAGTGTCCGTAATATCATTCATTTTCCACTGGAAAAGGAATTGGCTCTCCCCTTACTCATTTTCTCTCCTCTTCATTGGTGTGTGTCTGCCTATCTGTCTCTCCCTCTCCTGACCTCATTTTTCAAACACTTTGTTGTTACAGGTTGTCCTGCCAGCCTTGACTCTTGTCTATTTTTCCATTCTCTGGACACTAACCCACATTTCTAAATCAGATGCTTCCCAGGTGAGTGTGGGTCTTAGATGGGGGAGTGGGAACAGAGGTGTCTGTGTCTTCATTCTTCCCTTTCAAGCCACTGTGCCCACAGAAGCAGCTGTCGAGTTTGAGGGACAGAATGGTGGCCTTCTGTGAACTCTGCCAGAGTTGTCTCTCAGATGTGGATACTGAGATCCAGGAGCAGGTGAGCACTGACTCAAGTGGGAGCAACAAGGCGAGTATCCCTGCCCGCATCCCCCATTCCAAGGAGAAATTGACAAGTGTCATTTCTACCTTGGGAAACGTTCTGTCCTTTTAAACATCCTTTCTTTTCCCCCTACAGGCTTTTGTCTTATTAAGTGATCTACTTCTCATCTTTAGCCCTCAGATGATTGTCGGGGGCCGTGATTTCCTTAGGCCACTTGTCTTTTTTCCTGAAGCTACTCTCCAGTCTGAGCTAGCCAGCTTCCTCATGGACCATGTCTTCATCCAGCTGGGAGACCTGGGCAGTGGTGCAGTGACTCTATACCTGGGGCTCAGTAAGGGCTGGGACTTGGGTGTGGCTCAGGAGTATAGGGCAGGAAGCCTAAGTCTGTGATTCCCTTCTGCCTTCCATGTGAGCCAGGTGATTCCCAGGAGGATCATTTACAGATAGAGCGGCTACACCAGCGGCGCCGCCTCCTGGCCGGGTTCTGCAAGTTGTTGCTTTATGGGGTGCTGGAGATGGACGCAGCCTCAGATGTTTTCAAACACTACAACAAGGTACAGCAAGGCCCTACAGAAATAAAAGAGAAGGGAGCAAGTTGAGCACAGCTATGACTTCAAACATGATAGCACTACAGGTGGGGGATATCCAATGGTATCAAGCTTAAAGGAGAAGTAGAAGGGAAAGGCACTGGGAGTTCAGAATAAGAGGACAAAGAAAAGAGACTTAATAGTAAGTAGTTATGGAGAAAAAGCTGTGAAGAAATTCAGTGGAGGGGAAATAGCTTATTCTTCCTGTCAAGAAATATTTATTTTTCTCTGACCCCCGTCTATGGAATGGGGTAACATAAGAAGGAAAAAAGAATAAAAGAGGGATCAATCCTCAGAGGATACCTAGATATGTGCCCCAGTTTCCTCAACCCACCAGTATTGATTTATGCTTATTGAGCACCTGCTGTGTACCAAGCACCATTCCAGGAACTAAGGCCACAACAGTGAACAAAACACACAAGTTACTATTTGGTGGAGCTTCCGTTGTAGTTGGGGAGAGACAAATAGTGAAGGTGTCAGTGCTGTGTGAGAGGGCACTGTCAGGCTTACTTCTCTTCTCCAAGAATTGGGCTTGGGCCAGTGTTTGTTTCTTTTTTATTTATTTATTTATTTATTTTTGAGACGGAATCTAGCTCTGTCACCAGGCTAGAGTGCAATGGCAGTATCTCGGCTCACTGTAACCTCCACCTCCCGGGGTTCAAGCAATTCTCCTGCCCCAGCCTCCCAAGTAGCTGGGATTACAGGCACGTGCTATCATGCCCAGCTAGTTTTTATAGTTTTACAGGCACGTGCTGTCATGCCCAGCTAATTTTTGTAGTTTTAGTAAAGACAGGGTTTCACCATGTTGGCCAGGGTGGTCTCGATCTCCTGACCTTGTGATCCGCTCACCTCGGCCTCCTAAAGTGCTGGAATTATAGGCATGAGCCACCGCGCCCAGCCTGTTTCATTATTTGTTTACCAAAAGTCTGATTTATTTTAGGCTTTGCACCTGTTGATTAGAGATGAAGTCTAGCCTGAATTATTTTATGCTTCAGTTCGTGTTTCCTACCTAAGGCAGTTTGGGAGGGAGACATGATTAGTGATGTGAAGGAAGAAACAAAATGGTCTTTTCCACTGGTCAGACATTACCTTCCCCACTCTTTCCCCTCAGTTCTACAATGACTATGGTGACATTATCAAGGAAGCATTAACTAGAGCAAGGCAGATTGACCGAAGTCATTGTTCCCGAATCCTGCTGCTGAGCCTCAAGCAGGTGCGCCCTTCTGCCTTGAGGGCATGCCCTCTCTGTTGTCCCCAAGTCTCTGTCTACCCTCAGCCACTTAGAATGTAAGATCCTTCAGAGCAGTAACTTTTCTTGTTTTGACTCTTAACTTTACGTGATAGGTTCCTTCATTCAAATACTTGGGAAGTATTTTTTTTTTTTTAACTGACTGGGCAACCCCATCAAAAGTAACTTATCAGAACGTTGGAATGCCAACAAGGAAGTGATAGGGAATTCCTAATTATTTTTCAGTCTGTTCTCTTTCAGCCTCCTTCAGTTACTATAGACATTTTTATTTAATGTTACAGAGTAGAGGTGATGGGCATTGTCTGCTGCAGGGGTTAGTATCAGGGGAGTTCCTTAGAAGGAAAGAAAGAGTAAAAGTAGTAAATGGTGTCCCAAGGCCTTTGGAATTTCTGAGTAGAGAAGAGAATGCTGGACTTCTCTGTTTCCGCCATGTTCTTCCCTTTCCCACATGCACCATGTCTCCTGGACACAGCTGTACACAGAACTGCTGCAGGACCATGGGCCCCAGGGCCTGAATGAGCTTCCTGCCTTCATCGAGATGAGGGACCTAGCCCGGAGGTTTGCCTTGAGTTTTGGACCCCAGCAGCTGCAGAACCGTGACCTTGTGGTCATGCTACACAAGTAGGAAGTATTGGTTGGAGGCCGTGTTCATGGAGGGCTGGGAACAAGGTCTTGGAGGGAGGGTATGTGTGTCAAGGAATAGCAGTCAGGTTAGTGGTGGGTATGCCTTTGGAGACAGGCTGGGGACAGAGGGAGGGTGTACTGGCACAGGATATCTCAGCCCTGGGAGGGAAGTGGGAAGAGACTTTCTTCCTAAAAGAATTCTGCCCAACCAAGGGAAGGCATCAAGTTCTCCTTGTCTGAGCTTCCTCCAGCTGGCTCCTCTGATCAGCCTCCAAATCTGGCATTCCTGGAGCTCCTTTCAGAGTTTTCCCCCCGACTCATCCATCAGGACAAACAGCTTTTGTAAGTTGGTGGGTGGATAGAGATGTGGATTAGGGAAGGGCCTGCTGAGGACCCAGTAGCCCCTTCAGCCTTTTGGTTCCACCTCTTTCTTAGACTGTCCTACCTAGAAAAGTGCCTGCAGCAAGTCTCTCAGGCACCTGGCCGTCCCTGGGGCCCAGTCACCACCTACTGCCACTCCCTCAGCCCTGTGGAGAACACAGCAGAGACCAGCCCTCAGGTCCTCCCCAGCTCCAAAAGGAGGCGTGTTGAAGGTAGGGTGCTGTGTGTGGGTATGGGGGTGCCCAGCATGGATAAGTGCAGGTGGTTTTTGGCTGCCTTCAAACTTATTTTGTCAAATATTTCATTGAGCATCTACTGTCATTCAGGGTATTAATTTCTTTCAAGGTTTAGTCAGCTGAAAACCTGCATCAAAAATCAAATAGAGGGCCAGGCGTGGTGGCTCATGCCTGTAATCCCAACACTTTGGGAGGTCGAGGCGGGCGGATCATGAGGTCAGGCGTTCGAGACCAGCCTGCCCAAGATGGTGAAACCCTGTCTCTACTAAAAATACAAAAATTAGCCGGGCGTGGTGGCACGCACCTGTAATCCCAGCTACTCGAGAGGCTGAGGCAGGAGAACTGCTTGAACCTGGGAGGTGGAGGTTGCAGTGAGCTGAGATTGTGCCGCTGCACCCCAGCCTAGGCGACAGAGCGAGACTCTATCTCAAAAAATAATAATAATAATAATAATATAATGAAATAGAAAACCGATGATAAAACCAAATATTGAACTAAGAAATCTATACATTCAGAGTACCTCTCCTCAACGTCTTGTATCCCATTATTTTCCAAACTTTAGACACTTTTACACAACCTTCATTTTTTTTTCCCTTCAGATCACCTGTTGTCTTATAAGTTGCCTAAGGTTTGTTTTGTTTTGTTTTGTTTTGTTTTGAGACAGAGTCTTGCTCTGTTGCCCAGGTTGGAGTGCAGTGGCGGCATGATCTCGGGTCACTGCAAGCTCCACCTCCCAGGTTCATACCATTCTCCTGCCTCAGCCTCCCGAGTAGCTGGGACTACGGGTGCCTGCCACCATGCCTGGCTAATTTTTTTTGTATTTTTAGTAGAGACGGGTTTTCACCATGTTAGCCAGGATGGTCTTGATCTCCTGACCTCGTGATCTGCCTGCCTCAGTCTCCCAAAGTGCTGGGATTACAGGCGTGAGCCACTGTGCCCGGCTGCCTAAGGTTTTTTCTTTGCTTTTTAAAAAACAGCTGCATATTAAGTAACATTGTAGCAATCATTTCATATGCAAGTATGTGTTTTCTGGTGTACATTTTTAAATGGGATTTTATGTGACAGCTTTATTGAGATACAATTTACATATCATAAAAATCACCCCCCCCTTTTTTTTTTTGAGACGGAGTCTTGCTCTGTCACCCAGGCTGGAGTGCAGAGGCGTGATCTTGACTCACTGTAACCTCTGCCTCCCAGGTTCAAGCGATTATCCTGCCTCAGCCTCCTGAGTAGCTGGGACTACAGGCTCCCACCACCATGCCCGGCCAATTTTTGTATTTCTAGTAGAGACAGGGTTTCACCATGTTGGCCTGGCTGGCCTCAAACTCCTGACCTTGTGATCTGCCCGCCTCAGCCTCCCAAAGTGCTCCCAAAGTGCTGGGGAGTCACCGCACCCAGCCAAAAATCACACTTTTAAAGTGTACGCTTAGCATATTCACTGAATTGTACAACCATCACCTCTATCTAATTTTAGAACATTTTCATCATTCCAAAAGAAACCACATACCCATTCGCAGTCTCTGCCCATCTTCCCAGCCTTAGGTTAGTATCACTAATATAATTCCTATCTCTTGATTTGCCTATTCTGGACCTTTCATATAAATTGAATCATATAATATGTGGCCTTTTATGTCCAGCTTCTTTCACTTAGCACAGTGTTTTCAAGGTTCATCCATACTTTGACATATATAAGTATCTCATACCTTTTTATGGCCAAAACGATATGCCATTGTGTGGATATGCCACATTCTACTTACCCACTTGTCAGTTGATTGACATTTGGGCTGTTTTATGCATAATGCTGCTAAACATGCATGTACAAACTTTTGGGTAGATGCATCTTTTCAGTTTTCTTGAGATATACCTGGGAGTGGAATTGCTGGGTCATATGGCAATTCTATATTTAAGTTTTTGAGGAGCTACCACACTGTTTTCCAAAGTACCTACACCATTTTACAATCCTACCAGCAATGTATGGGGGCCCTGGTTTCTCCATGTTGTCACTGGTACTTATTATTTTTTATTTTATCCATCTCCTAGTAACTGTAAGGTGTGGTATCTCATTGTGGTTTAAATTTTCATTTCCCTAATGACCAGTGGTATTGAGCATCTTTTCATGTGCTTATTGACAATTTGTTTATCTTCTTTGGAGAAATGTCTGTTGTGATCGTTTACTATTTTAAAATAGGTTTGTCTTTTTATTGTTGAGTTTTAAGTATTCTTTATATATTCTAGACACGAGATTTCTTATGATATGCAAACATTTTCTCCCATTTTTTGGGTTGTCTTTTCATGTTATTGGTGGTATCCTTTGAAACACAAAAATTCTTGAATTTGGTGAAATCTAACTTACTTTTTCCTTTTGTTGCTTGTGCTTTTGATGCCCTATCTTGAGAAATTGTTGGCTAATTCAGGGTCACAAAGATTTACTCCTGTGTTTTTTTCTAAGAGTTACAGTTTTAGCTCTTGATTTAGATGTGTGATCCAGTTTGAGTTAATTTTTGTGTATGGTGTGAGATGGGGTGTGATTTCTTTTTGCTGTCTTCTGTGTACCACATAAAATTATATCTTATACCACCAGGAAACTCTGCTTTAATCAATTAACTAATACATATTTGTTAAGGACCTACTATATGCAAGATACTATGTTTAGTGTTTTAGGGGCCATGAAGAATCCTCCAGCAGCTTATCATCTAATAGGAAAAGGGGAAATTTTAATTATGGAAAACCCAAATTACGAGCAATTGCCAATAAATAACTGCCTGAAGGCTTGTACAAATGAATGCTGTAGAATTCAGAGAATGACGAAGGCTTTACCAAGAAGATGGAAATGCTGGAGCTTAAAAAATAAGTAATATTTGTGTAAGCTGAACAGAGGAAGGAAGAGCATCATGGGCTGGCAGAATAGCACAAGCAAAGCATAGAACGCTGTGTGCTGGGCGAAGCATGGAGGTACATAGATCGCTCTGCCTAAAGCGTAGGGTTTATGAAGGCAAGATAAAACTGAAGAGATTGTTTTTATTCATTCAATAGATACTGAGCACCATGTGCTGGGAATACAGCAGTGAACAAAAAAGCCAAAAATCTCTTTCTTTAGAGGGTGTTAGATAGTAGTAAATGCTATGGCAAAAAACAGGGAGGAGTATGAGGAATCCTGGTGGGTTGGGGATTGCAGTCTTACAAAGACTGATCAAGGGAAGACTCAAGAACACAAATGTTGGGCAAAACGCCTAAAAATAAGTTAAAAGATACACTCAGGCACATTAAAATTTTAACAGGTTTATTTGAGCATTCAGCAATTTATCAATCAGGCAGTGACAGACCGCAAGCAGTTCAGGGTGCCACCACTGAGGAAACCAGAGGGGACACTTACAAGGTGTCTGTGGGAGCAAGACAAAGAAAATATTTAATTGGTTACAGTGGAAAGTTCATATTTAGAGGTTAACTGACCATAAATCTCTTTTTAGAGGTTAGTCAGTAGTTTCGGACTGGTTAAGCTTAAGTTTCCTTCTCCTAGGTTACACACAACACTTTCACTCTGAGTTGAGTTTCAGTTTGCTGACTTAGGAACCCAAAGTGCAGGAGACGTTTCAGCCTATTGGCCTCCCAGCGAATTTTTTTCACATGTGAGGGAGGCTGCTTAGTGTGTATCAGAATAGCATAGCAAAGGAAGCAGCCAGTCCTGAGGCCATGAGGGGATGGGGGGAATGTTCCTGGAATGTTCAAGGAACAGCAGAGAAGACCATTATGGCCAGAATGCAGATGGTAGGATATGAGACCAAATAGGGTGCAGGATCCCAGAGCATCTAAGGCAGAGACTGACTTTTACTCTGAGTGCAGTAGGAAACCATTGGAGGATTTTGAGCAGAGGAACGATAGAATCAACCTCTGTTTTTAAAGGATCCTACTGGCTGCTGTGTTGAAAACAACAGGAGATGGGGGAAGGCTTGAAGCAGGGAGACCAGCAGGGAGGCTGTGGCTGTTGTAGGAATCCAGCCCAAGATTCAAGATAAGAGAGCTTCTTAGGCCAGGGGCAATGGTGGAGGTGCCGAAAAATGGCCAGATTCTGGGTGCATTTTCAAGGTATCTCTAGTAGGCTTTTCTGACAAACTGGATGTGGGATATAAAACAAAAAGAGGAATTGAGAATAGCTCCAAGTTTTGGCCTGACAGAAGGATGGAGTTGACAGTACCTGAGATGGGGAAGGCAGAGAGTGAAGATAGCTGTCGGGGAAAGTGGGGCACTGGTGTTGGCCACGGGATTACAGGCGGAGATGTTGAACAAACCGTGGGGGCTGTTAAGATGGAGTTCAGGGGAGAGCTGAAGGCTTGAGATCCCTTTGGGATGTGGCAGAGTGTAGGTGATATTTAAGGATGTGAACCTCAGTGGCTGGGTAATCTAGTGAAGATGGGGAAGCCAGTGAAGATGGAGAAGAGGAGAGACTCAAGGGCCCAGCCCTCGGGTATCACACCACTAATAGCTCGGGGAGATCAGGAGGACACACCTGGGGCCCCAGGGTTTCCTCTCTGGGCATACAAGCCCAGGGGTATGGCTCTTCCCTGTTTTCTGTAGCCCTCTGCTTAAACCCATAGCAGCTCACTTTGGGATTATTGTTTTCAGTGGATGAACATAGCCATGGAGAAGGAGGGTAACGGGAGTGTGACTGTTTACAGTTAACAGACTTAATATCAATTTGATTGATGCTTTAAAATAGTATTGCCTGGGTTTTCTCAGGCAGTGAGAATCTTTGGATTCTTTTTCCTCCTCTACCTTCTCCGATCTCTGTAGGAGCTAAGTCCCCCTTCATATCATATCAATTATACTGGCATTGTAATCACTTCATTTTTTTCTAGCTTTTAGAAAATCCTGTCTCCCATTTTCCACTTCTTTCCTGGCCCTCATGAGTCCACTCTAGCCTCTGGTACCAAAACTCTATTGTCATGTTAAGCTTTTTCTGACCTCAGAAATCTTGGATAGGATCTCAAATGTCTTCATTGGCTAACTCAGACCTCTCAATCTTAGAGACTCCAACCCTCCCTCATATTTGTGTTCACCTGTTCACCTGTTACAGTTTATCTGTGAAATGTATATTTATATATCTTTCCATCTTGTTTTCTAAGCTGTGTAGCAGGTTTTCCTTGGACAAGGCCTAACTACAATTCTCTAAGCCTTACTTTTTGGTACATAAGGCTATGTATTTAGTACATAGGGCTATGCCCATTTGAGGGCAACAGAATGAGGCTGTATAGGTCTTCCATTCTCTTCTTGATTGGCTTTCCCTTACTAAATCCCGGGCAGGTCTTGGAAAGAGAGCACACCTGTTGCAGGCCCTGGGCTGTGGCTAATGTGTGCATCTGCTTGGCAGGGCCTGCCAAGCATGACAGAGAGGACGTCTCCTCGTCCCAGGAAGAAAGTCTGAAGCTGAACAGCATCCCCCCCCCCCCCCCCCCCACCCCCCCCCCCCTGAAGAGCAGGCAGCCCCCGTGGGGGCTGGAAGAGATGGAAGAAGAAGATGGCTCAGAGTTGGATTTTGCCCAGGGGTGAGGCCATGGAGGGAATCTGGGTGTCTGAGTTCCCAGTTTGGTGTCTGGCTACCTCCATCTTGCTGTTTCTGTTTTGTGGTTCCCTGCTGTAGCAGTCCCTCATTGTTGGGTTCTTCTCTATCCTTCTCCATTTTTTAGCTTTAAAATGCATCTCTCCCAACACTGAGTTTTTCTCCCCATTAACACCAGCTGCCTTACATCCTCCTCTTCTTACTCTTGATTTTTATCCCATCATTGATCCTGCTTCATTCCCAGCAGTCAGCCCCTCGCAGGCACCCAGAGGTCAAGGTTCTTGGGTCCACAGTATTTCCAGACTCCACGCAACCCTTCAGGTCCTGATCTGGGCAACCAGCTGATGCGGTGAGCTTTTCTCATCATCTCCTGTCTTCACTTCAGATCTGTTGCCCACTGTAAGGGGATTCCTGTATCACCCATTGCCTCTCTGTGGGTGCTTTTTGGGCTTGTTTTAGCCACAGAGCACTTCCTGTCAGCACAATCTGGAAACCTACTATGTTGTACTTACTTCCCCCACCCCGGCTGTCTGAGAAACTCTCAGGGGTCCTCAAAGAACAGTTTGAAAAGCCTGACTCTTTGCCCCTACATCAGACTCAGCCTTATGGAAGAGGATGAGGAAGAAGAGTTAGAAATTCAGGATGAGTCAAGTGAAGAACGGCAGGATACAGACATGGTGAGCGGACCACCCTGCCCTTCTCTCTCAAGAACTAGGGGCTGATGTGCCAAAGAGAAGCCAGGGTACTTCCCCTTTCCCGACTCGGTGATCCCTGGTCTCTGAAAGCTGAATGAATCTAGAGTAAAGGAGGACAGGTTATACATTGGTTTGGACTTGCTTAGACTCTACTTTTAGTAAAGAATAAGGAAAAGAAATTACAAATACCGAAGAAGGTTGGAATAGCACTCTTGCTCCCAATCCCTAAGTAAATGTTGTTGCCTCTAAACCTCCTAGGAATTGGAAGTCCTAATGCTGGAGGTGGGAGGTCATTCAGTCCAGGTGGCAGCCCCCTTCAGTGTGTCTCCTCCCAACACATTACCCCCTGTCCTCCCTCTCCCTACTAGAGGGCTTCCCCTCCCTGTCCCTTCCCTCACTCCCCTTCTAACCTAGCCTGTTTCCCCAGGAGGAAATGCTGCTGGTGTAGTGGGAAAAGCCTGGCATTTGGAGTGAGGTGACCTGAGTGCTAGTCCTCAACTCCATGTCAAGTTAGCACTTTACCCCTTCTCAGCCTGCATTTTCTCATCTTTATTTTTGAATTATTTTTATTTTTTGAGGTAGAGTCTCTCTCTGTCGCCTAGCCTGGAGTGCAGTGGCACAATCTCGGCTCACTGCTACCTCTGCCTCCTGGGCTCAAGCGGTTCTCCTGCCTCAGACTCCCAAGTAGCTGGGATTACAGGCGTGTGCCATCATGCCTGGTTAATTTTTTTTTGTATTTTTAGTAGAGGTGGGGTTTCGCCATGTTGGCCAGGCTATTCTCGAACACCTGACCTCGAGCGGATCCACTTGCCTCAGCCTCCTTTAGTGCTGGATTACAGGTGTGAGTCACTGCGTGCAGCCCATTTTCTTATCTTTAAAACAGAACTGTTAGCCTATAGTTCCAGCAACTCAGGAGGTGGAGACAGGAGGATCAATAGTCCAGGAGTTGGAGTCCAGCCTGGGTAACAGTAAACTCCTGTCTCTTAAAAAAAAAAAAAAATCAACAATTCAAAAATAAATAAAATGGACCTTTTACATAAAATATAAGGTAAAACCACTTTATACATGGAAAAGGGCTATGTCTGAGTTCAGGCTACTGTAACGGAATTCCATAGACTGGTATCTTACAGCAGAAATTCATTTCTCACGGTTCTGGAGGCTGAAGTCCAAGGGTTGGGTTCTGGTGAGGGCCTTTTTCCAGCCTGCAGACTGCTGGCTTCTAGTTGTGTCCTCACCTGGAGGAGAAACAGCAAGCTAACTCTCTGACCTGGGCTTAGAAGGGCATTCATCCATCCATGAGGGCTGCACCCCTATGACCCAATCATCTCCCAAAGGCCCCACTTCCAAACAGCATCACACTGGGGGAAGGATTTCAACGTGCGTGTTTGGGGGGACACAGATATTCAGTCCATTACAGGCTCTGTATCTTCTGTTATTCTTCTGTTCTGTTCTCTTCTCTGCAGGGAGGGAAAAAGAACAGAATAGAACAGAACAGGGGAGTCTTGTGCTCAGAAGGAGAAACCCAAACAATGATACCTTCAAACCAGAGACTAGAGAGCAAGGCCTCTGTTAAAATATTATTTCCTAACATCTCAGGAAAAATCCATTTTCTGGTTTCCAAACCAAAGGCATTGAAGGGGCTCAGTCAGCAGGCCAAGAAGCTCTCTGCAGTCAGGCCTGATCCTCGTGTCCACACTAACATCCCTACCAGGAGGTGCCATAGGGGCCTGCTGTGCCCATATTTGTTCTTATGAGGCTGGGAAAGGAACTGGTTTTTTTGTTTGCGAAGTGATAGGAGTGTGGAAAGGCCTTTTTGACTTTTAACCTCATTCTCTCTAGCAAGCAAGTAGCTACTCTTCCCCCAGTGAGCGTGGGCTGGACCTCTTAGATTCTACGGAGCTGGATGTTGAGGTGAGTGTCCCCAGAGCAGGAGGAGTTATGTGTCCTTGGGAAATGCTGGCAGGCAACCCATGTACTCATCAAATTGACAGAAAGGCCACAGCCTGGGGGTGGCCCTCTGAGCTGTCTCTGGGGCTTTTATGGTAACCCAGGGAAGGACGGTCTGCCTATTGGCCTGTTGCTGTGTCCTTTGTATTCCTTTCATCTTTCTCATTATAGGATTTCTGACATGACTGGGCCCCTCCCCAGCTCCACTTCCTACCTCAAGGATGTGACCATTTGGAAAAGGCAAAGAGAAAAGGAGGAAAATGAAGCATTCCCCCAGGCTTCAGCCCTGGGCTCTGAGGGGAAGGAGTTGGGCATTGTTTTTCTAACCTAACCTTTCCCTCTGGTGATGTTGGGGTAGAGGAGCTGAGAGACCCTGTCCTCCCTAATGCTGTGACCTAAGTCCCCCTGCCTTTTTCCTGTTCTGTTTGGAGTGGAGAGGGGCAGCGCCTCTCTGTGTGTAATGGAAAGAGCCCATAGTTTCCTGGATTTTTGGAACATCTTTCTCAGCCTATTTTTTGTCCTAATGATTCGCTCAATAAACATGTTTGAATCCACACGTTCCCAAGGTGTGGCTTGAGGTCATTAAACTGATGGAGGTCAGGTTCTTCGTCTGCCTTGTCCCATGGCCCAGTGTATAGGTGTCCCCACACCCCGCAGGTGCTTTGTCTACAGGCTCTCCAGGAAGTATTGCTTAGTAACTGAGAGGCGGGGTGAGGCAGTGGAGACAGGGAGGGATTGACTGCCTGTGAGTAGTTTATCTAGTGGCCACAGCCTCTGCAGCAGTGAAAGTTGTGCTGACAGATGGGAGAGTAGAGCAGGACCTTGTAAATCTGCCTGTCTCACCCACGGGGGCCAGGCCAGGCCATGTGTCCTGGCAGCCTTTAGCCAAGGGTTCTTTCCAAAGGAAACTTTATCCTGTCATCCCAAAGGTACCTGTCATAATTTGGAATTTGATCAAATCACAGTATCTGAGAGTTAAAATGAAACTAAGGAGTTACTGTAGATGTCCAACCCTAAAATCCAAGTGATGGATGTCACCTTCACTCTTGCCTTCTCCAGCTAGTTCTTCACCAAGTTCTGTCAAGACTTGGTGAAAAATATTCTCTGGCCTATGTCCTCCACACATTGTCACCATCATCTCTCACCTAGACTCCCGCAGTGCAGCCTCAGGGCCGGCCTCTTGAAACTCAGACATTTGCTCTTGTTTTGCCTTGTGGAGCAGCACAGCACCTCTATTCATTCTCTCTTGTCCCTCTGACAAGCAGTATTTGAAGACAGCTGTTGTCATTTTGTACTTTCACTGTTTTCTTCTGTGGTTTAAGGAATGCTTCAGCCTCTCTCTTTAGATATCATTTCCATTTCTTCCCATCATGGGCACCTGCTTTAGCGGCACGTTCTCACTGTGGTCTCCTAGGCCAGACACAGCCATCCAGCTAGTGATCTGTGCAGAAAGAGCCATGACTTCCTGCGATCAGGTCACTTAGCCAAGACTGCCTCGCTCCTTTTATTCTCCCTCCCTGCCCCCACCTGTCTCTCCCAGATAAAAGCTAGAAGAAATTGGGTTGTGGGTCTCCTTTTGGAAAGGAGTCTGAGGGAGTCAGAGCTGGGTTGGGGGGAAGGCTAACTCATTGAGAGATCACAAGAGGATAAGAGCAGCTTGGGGGCTTTGCATCAATATGGACACCTGTGTATAGCCAGGCAGCCCAGTGCACTGGGTTGAGTCACAGCCTTTGAATCTGGGAGCTTGACACCATACTCCCTAAAGATTTTGACACTGTTTATTGAGAGGCTGGGTCTAGGCTATCTCCTTGAATATGGGCTCTGTGATGCTTGACTAATAGACGATGATAGAAATGATGCCATGCTAGTTAGTGGACCCAGATTTTAAGGAAACTGGCAGTTTCCATTTCCTGTTTCTTCTTGTACTTGGGTTCACGCTTAGAACCCAGTCACCATTCTGTGAGCAAGCCCAGCAGCCGAAGGAAAAGGCCGTCTGTAGGTGTTCCTGCCAGCAGCCCTCACTGAGGTCCCAGCCAACATCCATGTTGGCTGCCAGACTCAGTCCAGACGGGAATCAGATGATTCCAACTTCCCGTTTTTCAATTTTCCCAGCTGAGGTCCAGGCATCAGGGAGCGGAGACAGCCCATCTTTTCTGTGCACTTTCCAAATTCCTGACCATGAGCCCATGAGCGTAATAAGATGGTGGTTTACACCACTCAGTCTGGAGGGGTTTGTTATGTAGCCATAGCAACTGGAACAGGGCCTTAGAGTCATAAGACTCCCAACGTTTGGACATTTATATCAGGTTTTTAAAAATTTTAAGTTTTATAAACATATACTAGTTCTATATTATACACATTTAAAATGTAACAGATGAGTTGATGAAATAAGTGTTTTAAAATATTTCATTGGTTAACAGTGCAAAATACCTTTTTGCTCTTAAAAAAGGGTTTAGTGAGAGCAAAGTGAGAAACATTTTTTTAAATCATGGTTCAACATTTTCTGAAGTTCAGTTGAAAGTTCAGTTTAGGGCTGGGTGCCAGGTGGCTCATGCCTGTAATCCTAGCACTTTGGGAGGCCAAGGCGGGCAGATCATGAGGTCAAAAGATTGAGACCATCCTGACCAACATGGTGAAACCCCGTCTCTACTAAAAATACAACAAAATTAGCTGGGCGTGGTGGCGTGCGCCTGTAGTCCCAGCTACTTGGGAGGCTGAGACAGGAGAATCACTTGGACCCGGGAGACGGAGGTTGCAGTGAACCGAGATTGCGCCACTGCACTCCAGCCTGGCGACCAAGCGAGACTCCGTTTCAAAAAAAAAAGTTGTTTATTCTGATATTAATTTTAATGACCTTCATAACTTCCAGGAGTACCTCTCAAAAACAGGCAAATCCAAGTGGATTAGGTTCCTCTTTGCTGTTAATTGCTTTTTAAATAGATCCAAACCCGCTGAAAATCTTCCTCTGGAAGACTTGTGAACAGGTCAGAGGATGATTTCCCAGTGCAGACAACAGTGCCCTCATGAGAATAGGCATTGTTTGGGAGCACAAAACCTGAAGTGCATGAGCTGCGGTGTGTGGTGATGGGCTGGGGGTTTGCCTCTCTTCCCTCAGGATACTGATTGTATTCCAGGGCAATCATGACTTAACAATGTTTTTATCTACATTTGATCTTGGCCAAAAGGCCAAGAAGTGATACTATATTTTTGTCTTAAAAGATTAGAATTTTTGTTTATTTCTGCTGCACAACATCTGGATATTTTTTGTGCACGCCCCCACCTTGACATGCTCAGCTGTGAAGGGTTCGTGACAGCGAGCCCCCTGCTGGCCGGCTGGGACAGCCCAGGGCTCCCGCTTCTCAGCAGCATCTCCCACTGGCCAGGCCCAGGCCAGGCTGGACCTAGCTGAGGCCAGCTCAGGTAGCAGGCACGGAGGCCTTTGCCCAGCCTGACAAGTGATGCAGAGCAGTGCTTTTCAGGGTCTGGCACTGTAGGGTCCAGCCCTACTGGATCTGTGGGTTTTTCTCCTCGTGTGCGGAGATGAGAGATTGTAGAAATGAAGACACAAGACAGAGATAGAAAAGACAGCTGGGCCCAGGGGACCACTACCACTTAGATGAGGAGACCAGTAGTGGCCCTGAATGCCTGACCGCGCTGCTATTTATTGTATACAAGGCAAAAGGAGCAGGGTAAGGAGTGTGAGTCATCTCCCATGATTGATAAGGTCATGTGAGTCACGTGTTCACCGGACAGGGGGCCTTTCCCTTTTAGGTAGCCGAGGCAGAGAGAGAGAGGACAGCTTACATCATTATTTCTTCTATGCTCTTCTCAGAAAGATCAAAGACTTTAATACTTTCACTAATTCTGCTACTGCTATCTAGAAGGTGGAGCCAGGTGTACAGAGCGGAACATGAAAGTGAAACAGGAGCGTGACTGCTGAAGCACAGCATCCCAGGGAAACGGTTAGGCCTCCGGATGACTGTGGGCGGGCCTGACTGTCAGGCCTTCCACAAGAGGTGGTGGAACAGTCTTCTCTAACTCCCCCTGGGAAAGGGAGACTCCCTTTCCCGGTCTGCTACCGCTAGACCAAGGTCTGCTAAGTAACGGGTGCCGTCCCAGGCACTGGCGTTACCACTAGACCAGGGAGCCCTCTAGTGGCCCTGTCTGGGCATGACAGAGGGCTCGCACTCTTGTCTTCTGATCACTTCTCACTGTGTCCCTTCAGCTCCTATCTCTGTATGGCCTGGTTTTTCCTAGGTTATGATTGTAGAACAAAGATTATTATAATACTGGAATAAAGAGTAATGCTATAAACTAATGGTTAGTGATATTCATATATAATCATATCTATATTTCTAGTATAACTATTCTTATTCTGTATATTTTATTTATTATACTGGAACAGCTTGTGCCCTTGGTCTCTTGCCTTGGCAGCTGGGTGGCTTGCCTCCCACATGGCACTGCTGGGCATTGTCTGTTAATATCGAATAATTGTTTTAAGATTACTTTTAATGATTTTCAATAAGGCTTTACCTTTTTCAACTTGCACTGTGGCCATGAGCTCTGCCGGAAGTGACTTGTTGGTGTTGTCTCCTGAGTTATAAAGTGAAGATTTTATTTTTTTTTCAGATTACTGAGAGTCTTCAGTTACTAGATAAGTCGCCCCATCCTTGTAACTCCAAGTGACACTGGGGTTTATGGGATGAAAGAGGAATGTGTGCTTGGATGATAGGGTGTGATAGTGAAGGGGTGAAAGGTTTCTTCTCACACATAGACATCGTGAGGTCTTCCTTGAGCTCTTTAGAGCCTTCCCTCGGGATGGATGAAATACTGAGATCCTAGAAAGGATTCACAAAACGAGTCACTCATCA